AAGCCCCCAGATTTTCTAGAAACTTCTTCTGCTTCAGGCCTATTCCATCTTAACATCATACATGATCTGTAAAAAAAAAAAAATGCACTGCCATCTGGGTGGCTTCTGAGGCAGATTTCTCTTTTACACTCCTTTGGTGGGCTTACCTCCAAATATCTGAAAAGAGCTGAGAGGCCCCTGCTGCCCCACGTAAGAAATTAACAGCAAACAGAGGCTCAGTTTGGAGAATTACAAGTGAGTATTCTGGGACCAAATAAACCCTAAGCTGAAACAAAGATTTTTTTTTTTTTTAAAGCACAGGTACTGCTGCAATATCTTTGAACATTCTGTATTAGAGCAATATAATTATAAGACCGTGACAAACATAAAAGTAGGATAAAGAAAAGCTATGTTGAGACTTTAATAAAGTTGCTATAATGCGTTATTTACACAAAATACGCAGTTCTACATCAGGGAATCTTACAGGGCAATGAATATTAACCAACTTTTTTCCATTTGCAAAAAATATGCTGTGGTAAAACAAACAAACAAACAAACAAATAAACCAAACCCAATGAGATACTTATTCACAGTAACCTCTTATCACAATTAACTGCCCAACGAGAACACTGTTAACTCTTTGTGTGAGTGCATAAATTTTTTCTCGTTCAAATCAAACTTAAATAAATTGATGTAAGACAAACAAAATACTGAATGCCCTAAATGGAACAGGAAAATGCTCATTAATTTACCTGCAGCCATGAGAACAGCAGACTGAGCTGTGCTGATTGCAGATCTGGCCATGTCAGCCAGCCCAGCACACACAGGCCCTGGAGAGACACATTAACACACAGCAAGAAAAACAGCCTCCATGAGTGTGCAGTCATAGTTCTTCACTTTATTTATTTATTTTTAACGCTTAGTTTTATTTATTTTTGACCCAGAGAGACAGAGGCTGACTGGGAGGGGCAGAGAGAGAGGAGACACAGAATCGAACCGACCAAACTGGCTCCAGCAGGTTCTGAGCCAGCTCCAGAGCGAGCCCGAATGGGCCACAAACTCGACCATTTAGATCGCGGATCTGGGCTGAAGTCGACTAACCGGCAAACAGAGCCACCGGCTTGCTCAATAATTCTCATTTTAACAACACATAAAGTTTCGATTTCCACACGAGAATAGCGCTATGATTTAGTATCCATGATTAAGAAAATATATACGTCACCACCAAAACTACAATGAGTTCAGGGCTGCTTTTCGCATTTGTGTCTTGTTAACTGGCCAAGTGGCCTTTCATATATTTGAAAATTAGTAGTATGCATTCTTTTTTTAATTGTTAAAAGTAACTATGTTTGAAAGTTATTAAGAAAGAGAGAGGGAGGAGCAGAGAGCATGGCGAGAAGGGAAAAAAAGAGAGGGAGCGACACAGAATCTGGAAGCAGGTTCCCGCCTCTGAGCTGTCAGGCTACAGCATTGGGCCCGATGCAGGGCGTGAACTCGTGAACTGTGAGATCATGACCTGAGCAGTAGTCAGTCTCTTAACCAACTGAGACACTCAGGTGCTTCATGTGTGTATATTCTAACAAATAATACTTTTTTCCACATATGAGATATATATATATATATATTTTTTTTTTTTGGCTCAAAAAAAAAATTTAAATGAGTGGGGGAGGGGCAAAGGAGAGGCAAGAGAGATTAGAATCCCAAGAGGGTTCTGCACTCAGCATACAGAGCCTGACCACAGGGCTTGATCTATTCATGACACCAGCTTGTAGCTTCAACTGAAATCAAGAATTGGATGGATGCTTAACTGGCTGACTATTACCCAGATATCCCATAGTTATATATTCCTTTTTTTAAGAAATGTTTATTCATTTTTGAGAGAGAGGAAAAATGAGCATGGGGAGGGCAGAGAGAAGGGACAGAGGATCCGGCAGGCTCTGTGCTGATCGCTGCCAGCCCGATGGGGGGCTTGAACTCCTGAAATCACAAATCATGACCTGAGCTGAAGTCAGATGTTCAACCCATTGAGCCCGGCCCCCAAATTATATATTCTTTCATACATGTTGAAACCACATGGTGGATGCCGAAAAGCTGTTTAGGCATTTATGTAATTTGTATAGTCCTCCTTTCATGTTTTGGTCAGTGTTAATTCTTTTCTAAAAGTGGAAGTATCTGAAAAGCTCTGTTATAATTTCAGTTTCTTGGCTGGATAATTTTTCTTTAATGTCAAAGGATACATGGTTATTTCCTGTCTTCTAACACTGTTATGTAATCATCCTACTAAAACCCTACCATCAGCATCACTCAGAAAGTTCAGTCTTTAAATGAGTTCCTGGTTATGCTGGTTATGCTTGGTTATGCTGCTCTTATTGCAGAGATAAGAATGTAATAAAATGATCTTATCGTAAAAATTCAAACCTACAAAAAAAAAATAAAAGCATTTATAATAAAGAACCCTTCTACATACATCACCAGAGTTAAATTCTGCCAAGGTGCATTGTTTTCCACACCACTCTCCTCCCTTTATCCATAAGTGTTTTATTTATTTATTTATTTATTTATTTATTTATTTATTTTTTAAATGTTTATTTTTGAAGGAGAGACAGAGCATGAGCAGGCAGAGAGGGAGACACAGAACTGGAAAGAGGGCCTCCAGGTCTGAGCTGTCAGCACAGAACTCCAGGCCTGACGAAGGCTTTGGAACCTGAG